CAGAACTTTGGGAGGCTGAGGCAGGAGGATTGTTTAAGTTTAGGAATTCAAGACAAGCCTGAGCAACATGGCGAAACCTTGTGCCTATAAAAAAAAACACAGATACAAATCTCACTACATCTTCGTCTTTATCTTTGCTGCAAAATTATTTGCTTATGTGTTAGGTATCCCTTGTTTTAATTTCTCTTTGAGTTAAACCTTTTTCCCTGCCCTCATGTTCATCAGTCATTTGTATTTTTTCTTTTATGAGTTTTTTATTTTATGGCCTTTGCTCATTTTTCTATTGGGAATTTAATGTTTTGCTTATCAATTTGTGTGTGCTTCACATATAAAAAGATACGAACACATATAAAAAGGTAGCATCCTTGTGGTAAAAGCTTTATTGAAATATAATTTACATACCATACAATTTTCAAATTTAAAATGTACAATTTACTCTTTTTTAGTATATCGCAGATTTGTGCAATCATCCTCACAGTTTAAAAAAATGTTTTTCTTATTATTTTTTGAGACAGAGGCTCATTCTATTGCCCAGGCTGGAGTGCAGTGGTGCTGTCTTGGCTCACTGCAACCTCTGCCTCCTGGGCTCAAGTGATTCTCCTGACTCAGCCTCCCAAGCAGCTGGGATTACAGGCACCTCTCCCCCAGGCCCCCACCACCCACAACACCTGGCTAATCTGTTTAATTTTAGTAGAAACAGGATTTTACCATGTTGGCCAGGGTGGTCTTGAACTCCTGACCTCAAGTGATCTGCCTGCCTCGGCCTCCCAGAATGCTGGGATTACTGGTGTGAGCCACTGTGCCTGGCTCTGACAATTTTAGAACATTTTCATCACCTCGAAGAGAACCTCTGTACCTTTTAGCTATCACACCTCCTGCTTCCCCATCTCCTCCCTTATCCTTCAGCAAAGAATAATCTGCCTTCTGTCTCTATGGATTTGACTATTCTGGATATTTAATATAAATGAAATAATATAATCTGTGGTCTTTTGTGTTTGGCTCCTTTCACTTAGATAATGATTTTAAAGTTAATCCATGTTGTAGCATATATTAGAGCTTCATTTGTCTTTATGGCCAAATAATATTTCATTGCATAGATATATCATATTTGTTTATGCATTCATTGTTGATGGACATTTGGATTGTTTCCACTTTTTGGCTATACAAAGAAAGCTGCAGCCAGGTGTGGTGGCTCACACATGTAATCCCAGCACTTTGGGAGGCCTAGGCAGGTGGATCACCTGAGGTCAGGAGTTTGAGACCAGCCTGACCAACTTGGTGAAACCCTGTCTTTACTAAAAATGCAAAAATTAGCCAAGTGTGGTGGTGCATGCCTGTAATCCCAGCTACTCGGAAAGCTGAGGCAAGGGAATTGCTTGAATCTGGGAGGAGTTTGCAGTGAGCTGAGACTGTGCCATTGCACTCCAGCCTGAGCAACAAGAGTGAAACTCTATCTTGAAAAAAAATTTTTTTTTTTTTTGAGACAGAGTTTCGCTCTTGTCACCCAGACTGGAGTGCAATGGCATGATCTCGGCTAACCACAACTTCCGCCTTCCGGGTTCAAGCAATTCTCCTGCCTCAGCCTCCCGAGTAGCTGGGACTACAGGCGCACACCACCATGCCCAGCTAATTTTTTGTATTTTTAGTAGAGACGGGGTTTCACCTTGTTGACCAGGATGGTCTCGATCTCTTGACCTCATGATCCACCCGCCTCCGCCTTCCAAAGTGCTGGAATTATAGGCGTGAGCCACTGCGCCCGGCTGAGAAAAATTTTTTTTAAATAAAAATAAAAGAAGAAAGCTGCTATAAATGTAGAAGTATGGACATTTTGTATGGACATATATTTTCATTTCTCTTGGGCATACACCTAGGAGTGGAATTGCTAGGTCAAATGGTAACTTTTATGTTTAGCCATTTGAGGAACTGCCAGACTGTTTTCCACAGTGGCTGTATCATTTTTTATTCCCACCAGCATTGTATGAAGGTTTTAATTTCTCCATATCCTTGACAACGTTTGTTATAATTGATCTTTCTGATTCTAGACATTCAGGTGGGTGTGTAGTGGTATCTCACTGTGGTTTGATTTGCATTTCCCTTATGACTAATGATGTTGAGCATCTTGGCATATGCTTTTTGGCCATCTCTTTTTTAGAGAGAAGTCTATTAGGATCCTTTGAATAAATAGTGTTTTGTTTGTTTTTTTTTTTTAAAATAAGAGAGACTAGTGCCAGGTTTGAGGCCTGACTTCCAGCTGTGTGACTTCTTGGTTTTTCTTTTTTTTTTTTTAATTGTTGCCCAGGCTGGAGTGCAATGACATAATCTTGGTTCATTGCAACCTCCTCCTCACTGATTCAAATGATTCTCCTGCCTCAGCCTCCTCAGTACCTGGAATTACAGGCATGTGTCACCATGTCTGGCTAATTTCATATTTTTTTTCTAATAGAGATGGGGTTTCTCCATGTTGGTCAGGTTGGTCTTGAACTCCCGACCTCAGGTGATCCACCCACCTCGGCCTCCCAAAGTGCTGGGATTACAGTAAGCCACAGTGCCTGGTTGGCGTCTTGGTTTCTTAAACTATGAGCTTGTTTTCATGTCTTTTGAGTTGGGTAAATAACACTTATTTCATAAGGTCATTGTGTGGCTGAAATGAGAAAACATGCAGGTAGCATTTAGCAGAGTGCCTGATACACAGTAACTATGTAATAGATGAGAGCTATTTTCATGATTTTTAAAAGGTAGTAACACAATAAGAACTATGTTTTCTATGACCTGGCATTCATATGTAGGATCCAAAAAAAAACAACCAAGTTTCAGGAAGATTAATATGGCCATGTGATAATAAACAGGGACACTAGTTTGGAAAAGACCCAAGACTTTTATTTTTTTAAGCAAAAAAATAAAGGAAATGAGAATAAAATGTTATCTGCCCTGCTTTCCTATCAGAGACAAGGGTTTCCTCCTGTCCTCAGCCCCAGCAGCTGGAGGAAGGAGAGTGATCTTGCTGCTTGTTCAAGCTGATCAAAGACTTTTTTTTTTTTTTTTTTAGATGGAGTCTCACTCTGTCACCCAGGCTGGAGTGCAATGGTGTGGTCTCAGTTCACTGCAACCTCTGCCTCCCAGGTTCAAGAAATTCTCCTGCCTCAGCCTCCGGAGTAGCTGGGACTACAGGTGCATGCCACCAGACTCAGCTTATTTTTGTATTTTTAGTAGAGACGGGATTTCACTATACGTTGGCCAGGATGGTCTCGAACTCCTGACTACGTGACCCACCCACGTCAGCCTCCCAAAGTGCTGGGATTACAGGCGTAAGCCACCCTACTCAGCCAGATTTTTTTTAGTCATTTTTGTCTATTAACTTATCTAATACCTGAGAAAATAGTGATGAATATGTTTTGGATTTTTTGATTAACATCATAATAATGTGAGGAATTTTAAATGTGTTCATTAACTGTGTTTCTATGGAGGAAAATGGCACATAAAGGCTTTGGTAATCTCAAGGTCATTTATATTATCAATTAAAACAATTTTATATAATACCTGCTCATGCATTCATTTAATACATACCTATGCAGTCCCTACTATGTGCCAGGCACTGTTTTAGGCTCTGAGAATACAAAAGTGAATACAAGGTCTTTGCACTAAAGTTTATATTCCAAAAAGGTGAAACATTCAAAGTCCATTCATTCAACAAATATTGAGTACTGATTGAATGCTGGACACTATTTTAGATGCATGGGATGCACTGGTAAACAAAACAAGCAAAATTCCTTGTCCTCATAGGGCTTACATTTTAGTGGGAAGAGACAGACAACACATCGTAAACATAATAAATAAGGAAATTACATAGTCTGTTAGAGGGTTATAGCTGAGTGGGGGTAGGGACTTGGAATTACAATTTTTAGATCAGTGATCAGGGCTAGACCCATTAAGACACAGAAGGAGGTAAGGGGGTGAGCTATGTGGATATATGAGGGAGAATGTACTAGGAAGATGGAACAGCCAGTGCAAAGGCCCTGAGGCAGAACCATTCCTGGCAGAAATAAGGACAGTGAGGAAGGGAAAAGGTAGGAGGAGATGAAGGTAGAGGGGGAGTGGAAAGGGAATAGATCAAAGATCCCACAGGGCCTTGACCAGTGAAGAGGCCACCATTCACATCTGCAACAATTAAGTGCTGAATATATTTCTTGCTAAGCAGAGAACAGCAGTACTTGTAAGATAAGAGTGTCTCTGAACAAAGGAATTTGTGACTCTTATGTCATGTTTTGGGAAGCATGGGGTTTGGAAGTTGGCGAACTCTTAGAAGCTGGACTGTTTAGAGATGAGTTGACCTTTAGCTGTGGAAGAAAGATTAGTGGAGTGTGGCTGTTGCTGATTGGCTAATTTTTAGAAGCAAGTCACTGATCAAGAGATTGTTATTGATTGACTAAAACAGATTCTGGTTGTTTCTTGTCACTATGACCAAAGAACAACCAGTATCTTACTGTTTTTCAACTTGGAATGAAGGAACTTGTCACTATGGCTTGCAAGACCACAAGAAAAACTGTATTTTTTTTTTTTTGAGACAGAGTCTCGGTCCGTCACCAGGTGCCAGGCTAGAGTGGAGCGGAGCGATCTCGGCTCACTGCAACCTATGCCTCCCGGGTTCAAGCATTTCTGCCTCAGCGTCCTGAGTAGCTGGGACCATAGGCACGAGCCACCACGCCCAGCTAATTTTTGTATTTTTAGTAGAGACAAGGTTTCACCACGTTGTCCAGGATAGTCTCAATCCCTTGACCTCGTGATCCACCCGCCTCAGCTTCCCAAAGTGCTGGGATTACAGGCGTGAGCCACTGGGCCCAGCCAAGTCTTTGTCTTTTGCTTTGAGGGAAATAAGGAGTTAATCGGAGATTTTTGAGCAGTGGAGTGACAGGATTTGACTTATATTTTCAGAGGATGTGAAATCCTGGCTGTGTGTATCAGAGTGGAAGAGGGGAGACAAGTCACTGCAGTCACCCTCACTTAGGCTGTTCTTGCATATATACTAAAAATGGAATGATACAGAGGAGATTACATGGCCCCTGTGCAAGGATGACATGCAAATTTGTGAAGCGTTCTATGTTTTAAAAAAAGAAACACCCGAGACTAGGTAATTTATACAAAAAGAGGTTTCATTGGCTCACAGTTCTGCAGGCTGTACAGGAAGCATAAGGCTGGCATCTGCTCCTGGGAAGGCCTCAGGAAGCTTCCAATCATGGTGGAAGGCAGAGTGGCAGCAGGCACTTCACAGGGCGATATCAGGAGCAAGAAGGAGAGGGGGAGGTGCCATACACTTTTAAACCACTAAGATCCCGAGAGAACTCACTAGCTCTAGGACAGCATCCAGGGAATGGCGGTCAACCATTTATGAGAAAGCTACCCCCAAGATACAATTATCTCCCACCAGGCACCACCTCCAACACTGGGGATTACATTTCAACATCAGATTTGGGCAGGACATCTAAATCCTATCAGGAGATGTGACTTGAACCATGGTGGTAGTAGTGTGGGCAATGAGAAGTGTTTCCTTTTTTTTTGAGACAGAGTCTCATTCTGTCATTCAGGCTGGAGTACAGTGACACAATCTGGGCTCACTGCAGCCTCCACCTCCCGGGTTCAAGCGATTCTCTCACCTCAGCCTCCTGAGTAGCTGGGACTACTGGTGTGCGCCACCACGCCCAGCTAAGTTTTGTATTTTCTGTAGAGACGGAGTTTCATCATGTTGGCCAGATTGGCCTCAAACTCCTGAGCTCAAGCAGTCCGCTCTCCTTAGCCTCCCAAAATGCCAGGATCACAGGCGTGAGCCACTGAACTTGGCCTGTTTCCATTTTAGGTATACATATTTGTAGCCAACAAATAAATAAGATAATCCAGTTAGGCTAAGTGCATTGGAGTAAACATAATCATATTTACTTTTACATAGAATAACAGAGCCAGATGACAGGATAGAGAGTAACTCAGTGGGGCTACTTAAGAAGAAGGGGTCAGGGAAGTCCCTCGTTGAAGAGGCAAGACCTCAGTGATGAAAAGGAGCCAGTGAGGACCTTAAGGCTGGTGTGCGTGTAAGGAGCAATGCACAGGCCAGTGGGTCTAGAGGGTGGTGAAGTCAGGGTTGAAGAAGAGCCACAAGCCGGGTGGGAGAGGGAAGCTGAAGCCAGATCCTTCCAGGCCTCAGTGCATACAGTGGATTGAGAAGAGTGGAGCCAGAGAAGAATCGGGAAGGTGGAAGTAGAGATAATACCAGACACTGTCTGCATGGGCATTTTACCAGGTCTCATTGAAGTGATGAAGTAAAATCTAACTGAAGTTTTCATCAGGCCATTTCATCCTCATTGTTTGCTGAATTATGATGCCTAGATAAATAGCGATATAAACTAACTGGCAGCTGTGGTATACAGACTGGAAATAAAGACTCAATTGCCCGTCTCTGATCTTTAATGCAAAGACTAGCTTAGCTGCAGTGTTTTTTCCAAGACTAAATTATGATCCTGGCCTACCTCTTTCACCAAGAGGTAGGCCAGGATCAGAAAAATGGTAAACATTTATTGGGGGCTTCCTGAAATAGATACTGAAGGCACAGAGAACACAGGTTGTCAAGGCAGGATGACCTAGGATTCAACTGTGGACCGGATGTGGTCGGGTCCCATCTCTCCTAGAGTTCTGGCTCTCCAGGGTAAGGGGAGTGCTTCATTCACCTTTGCAGCCCTTGGGCTCCTAGCACAATGCCTGTAGAATGGTAGGAGCTGATATTACCTTATCATGGAATTTGAATTAAGCATGCAGTTTAGATCCACAGTACTGAAACGATAAACTATTAACTCAGTAAAGTAGTCATCTTCACATCTTTTGGTTCAGCATCCAGAACTGGGAGAATTAGTCATCCTTCTCCCAATTCTATTACTTGTGTTTTTATATTTCCTGCCTTTGAACACATCATTTCACTCCTAAATCTCCATTTTATGGGTAATAATAGAGAAAGGGAAAAATTAAACTCAGGCCAATTTTACTCCTTTTTTTTTTTTTTAACAGTTTTTGAGATGGAGTTTCACTCTTTTTTGCCCAGGCCGGAGAGCAATGGTGCTTGGCTCACTGCAACCTCTGCCTCCTGGGTTCAAGGAATTCTCCTGCCTCAGCCTCCTGAGTAGCTGAGATTACAGGCACGCACCACCACTCCTGGCTTATTTTGTATTTTTAGTAGAGATGGGGGTTTCACCATGTTGGCCAGGCTGGTCTCGAACTCCTGACTCCAATGATCCACCTGCCTCAGCCTCCCAAAGTGCTAGGATTACAGGTGTCAGCCATGACGCCCGGCCTCTAAGTTTTTACATGTTTGATGGAGACTAAAGAAATTCATGTTATATAAAGATCTTAGGATAACTTTTTTTTAAAGGGCTTTCTACGTATACATGATCCCAAACAACCCTGAGAAGCAGATATTTGGCCAAGATCACAAGCCACTAAGAAGGGGAGTTGGAATTCAAGTCAGGTTGTCTGATACTACAGTGGCATTGCTACTTACTCCTCTTGTCATGATTTGGGGCTTTCATTTGTCCTTTCTTCCATACTTGCCCCAGAAATGTTTAAACACGCTGAGAAACAGTGGGAACTCTATAAAAAAAAGCAACTCTATTTTTGTATGATCAATGCTGGAGAGTTTAATGTGGCCCAGGCCACTTGGTTAGTGGAAGTAGGCGGCACGCCACCCCCAGCTCCAGTTGCAGTGAGTGGTGTTGGATTACCCACCTCTGGGATGGTCACTGCTGAGCGAAGCTGGACCCAGGACTGCAGTCAGGGAATGACAGCGAAGGAGCTTGGCTGCACAGAGGGAAGAACCGGCTGCGGATTCTTGCAGCCAAACTGTCATCTGGTTGGGAAAAGCCGCTTGTCAATTTGCAACTACTAGAGGGGCGGGGGCGGGTGGAAAATGCAGCATCTTAAGTTCAAGATTCAGGGTGAAGGCTGGCTAGACTGAGCAGGGGTCTGCATCTTTAGATGAAATATGAAAACAAACACCCAAGCTCAGGGACCAAATGACAGGGAGCGATGCGCATCTGGCGACAGTAACAGGGACCCAAGGAAAGAAAACAGGAGGAGCTGAAGGCGCTCCAGGAGGTCCCCGCCGTTCAGACCCTCGCGGTGGCCCGGGCACGTCGTCCTAGGGGGCGGCTTCTGTCCTTGGTTTCCCCTTCTTAAAAATCCAGGGGCAGGCAGGCTGAGCTCGGGCGGCGGAGACACCTCCACGTGGGGAGGAAAGCGGTGACAAAGAGAGGGAGGCCCGACAGATTCCGCTTTGCACAAACCCGGGTCAACATCGGGAAGAAGGCCCGCCTAGACCCGAACGGCGCGCCAGGGCCAGGCCCTAGAAGCCCCAGCGCCACGAGGAGCAGGGTAGGGAGCGGCGCGGCAGCCGCGCGGGGCGGGGCAGGGGGCGTAACGGGGCGGGGCTGCGGCGGGCCGGCGCGCGGGCGCGCGGGCGGCGCGGAGGGAGGGTGTCGCGCCGAGGGAAGCGGCCCGCGGCGGAGGGAGGGGAGGCCGAGTCCTGGAAGCGGAGCTCCGCGCTGGGACTGGTTCCTTCGCAGCCATTTTCTGTCCAACCAAACAGCCGATTGGAGACGGGAGCCAACCAGGGCTGCATTGGAGGTTTGTGTCTCGCTTCGGCCAATGATCGCTCCTAAACCGACTCCACTTTAGCTCGAATGAAATGTCCGTCTCCTCCCGGCGCCGTCCCTGCCGCCAACGCCGCCTCGGCCGGGGGCACTCGCCTCCCGCCCTCCCGCCCGGGCCGGGGCCGGGGCCCGCGCCCGCGCCTGCGAGGCCGCTCTCGCAGCGGGCCGGGGAGCGGGCGCGGGGCCGCGGCGCGGCTCTTTGTGCGCCGGGCTGAGGAGCGGCGGGACGCGGGCCAGGCCGCCTCCCGCTCGCCGCCGCTGAGCTCCGGGCCCGGGGCCGAGGAGGGGCCGCGGGGCTGCGTCCGGGCCCCGCTCTCGGCGGCGTCCCGGCTCGGCTCCATTTTGTGCGAGTCCCGTAGCCCCGTAGCCCTGGCCCCGTAGCCCCAGCCGCCGCGCGGGTCCCCGGGGGCGCCCCCCTCCCTCCCGCGGTGCTGTGGCGGGGTCCCGCGCTTTGTCTGCCCGCACACCCCGGGGGCCGCGCGGCGGGCGGGAGGCAGGCTTTGGGCGCGGGGCCGGGGCGGCCGGGGGAGTCGAGGGATGCGCGCCGGGGGCGGCCTCTCGGCGCTCGTTGGGCTGACAGCTCGGCCGGACCGGGCCGTGGGGCCGGGGGCCACCCGGGCACCTGCGTGGGGAGGAAGGCATGGCTTTGGCTTCCCCGCAGTCTGGTTTGCGCGTAAAGAATGCAGCCATCTGGCGGCTTGCGGTCCCTGGACTTACCCCGAAGGTGGGAAGGAAGCCTTTCGGATTGGACTAAGGTTTTAATCGGTGTTGGGAGGCGGGAGGTTAAACAGGGCCTTGAGGAACGGTAGTCTTAGAGAACAAAGAATTACAGAGCACCCACAAATCATAATCTCGCCCAGAGTACTCTAACAGGATAATTTAAACAAGGTTAGGTAGCCTGCGACCTTTAAAAAAAAATGGCATCTCACTAACCCGCATGGACCCCATAGTTCCGTGGTTCGTGCCACAAAATCACTGATGTGGTTTCAGCTCTCTTAGTATGGAAACTAATCAGCAACATAAAGTGATGAAAGTAAACGGATCAATATCAGTGGCACTAGTCAGTGGGGGTTTTATTTGTAAAGTATTGGAAGTTTAACCAAAATTCCTTAAAAGGCAATTATTCCTTCCCTGCACTGCTCTTGTAGCTTAATTTAAGGATTACTGTATATTGATGGAAAACTCTGGTTGTTGATGCCAAAGAATAGAGGGTGGAGGAAGGGACTACTGCTTTTCTTGGATACAAATTTGCATTTCTTCAAACATTAAACAGATGTATGCATTCCCTAGAGCTTTTACATATATCATAACCTGCCCTTAAGAAAATATGTACCATATGAGGTGACAGTATTTTTCTTTAATGTACTGAGTCTAAATATATACTGAATCAACTATTTGGGTGAGTGAGTGTGGTGTGACTCCCTTTCCCATACCCCCGCCCCCATTCCAAGCAAAATATATAAATATAGCTCCCATATTTTAAGTGTTCTGAGGGCTTATTTTTACAAAGACACCCTAAAAAAAATAACATTTCTCGTTACAAGGAAGGACTTTTCTGAGCAGTTTTGGGGTTAGAGGATACTATTAATATTTGAAAAGAAATTAGAAATTACTTTTAATATTGTAGCAAATGTCAAGGAGTGTTTGCTGCCTGGACCCTTTTAGTGGCATTTAAAACATTCAATTCAGTGGCTACCATTTTTTTCTGCTATTTGCTAGATTTCATGCTGGGATAGGTATCAGTGTATCTTCTCCCTTTAAAATTAACACTGAAAGGATGTGTTTTTGTTTTGGCATCCTACCCCTCCCCCATTTAATTGTTTCGTTTGAAAAAGAGAATGGAGCAAATGAGAAATGCAAGTTGTAACATTGCAGTTGATACTAATTTATTCAGCTATTTATGCATTACAGTGATACTGAAGTGCTATTTGGATGCAATTTTAGTCAAAAATGGTGGTGCTTCAAAATTATAAATAAGGGTCTTGATTGTGTTGCTTTTTTGATATCTTCTCAGTGCAGAATGTATCTTCATTACAGTATAATCTGAGATTCTTAATTGAAAAGCATTATATTCTGAGATAATTTTTTCCTCCTCTTGAGCTATAGAGTGCCTAAATGTTACTCTGAAACGTTTAAGAAAACCATCACCAAAAAATTAAGTTGATAAGGGATGTGTTTGTGTCTTGGGTGTTAATGTTTTAAGTATTAGATGTATAATTTTTGGTCTCTTGCATATTACATAATTTGGTTCCTATTTGGTGTATTGTAATGAATGTTTATGATGAGTGTGACTAAATTCAGGGTTATGTTGGAAAATTCATTTTCTCCTCTCCCCATGGAATTAACTTGTAAGTTCTCCAAAATAAGTCTTTCAATTGAACAAACATTTACTGGGTGCCTTTTAATACTATTTTATAACATGCACTCCATTGATTAAGAATAGTAGACAAAATTGTACATGCCTCTTTAATTTTATGAGAAAACCTATAGGTGATATATTTGATGTTTTTACTGCTAATAGATGTTAGGTCCTAATAGATGTTTATCTTTTAGGTTGAAATAGCAAAGATTAGACGCCTTTTTAGACAGGTGTTCTTCAACACCACTGACAACACGGTTCTGATAGTATTTCATGACAGTAAGTATATTTTACCATTTTGGTTGTTAATTAGATTTGAACAGTAATTGGTTGGAAATAAAATTATAACTGATTTATACTGGAGATGCCTGATAGAATGAATGCATTTCAGGTCTAGACAGACAGTATCTCTACTCAATTCCTGTTGCTTCCTTATTTTCATGTTCTTGCTTGGGCCCTTATTTCCCGTGGGCCCCTAAGTGCTGTTGAGGCTACAGGGTGTTTGTCCCAGCTGTTAAGGGGCTGTCTATTTAGCCAATTAATTGAATTCTTAGGGGACAGTTATGCCCTGAGTGGAAAATGTTAACTCTTAAGTGCAGTCACTGTGGGAAGAAGAGAGGCGTGGTGGGCCTGGGTACTGGGGAATATCAGAGGGATCCTGCAGACCTTGAACTGAGCCTTAACGTAGAGAATGGGAATGGAGAGGTGAAGAGTCTCAGCAAAAGCAAATGCCTGGTGGCAGGAATGGGTAACTTAAGTTTAGGGGATCAGAAGTAGAGATGCATGGTCCAGGGCAGATTTCAAAGGATAATGTAGGAAAGAGAAAGCACTTGACGCCTCTGGATATGTAATTCTGGATGTGCTACTCTATCTGTAACCTCGGGCGTGTCACAGCTTCTTTGAGCCCTGGTTGCTTCATTCCTAAAATGAAAGAAATGCACTCTGTGATCCCTAAATAGAGCACATTCTAGCACAAAGGTTTTTATTAACCATGAAGATAGAGAAGAGTAGGAAACAAGTTTGGTTAGGTTAAATGTGCGATCTGCTCATGTGAAGTCATGAAAATGAGGTTTGGATTTCACATAGGGGGCCTTTAGGAACCTTCAATAGTTACACAAGTGGTGTTGTGGTGAGATTTGTCTTATAACAGTATGTTGAGATGGGCTGCATAGTAATCCAGTGGAAATAGGAAAGAGAAAGCATATCTGGGAGACATTTTTTACGAGGTAATAGATGAGGTAGAGCTTAAAGGAAATGGAAGAACCTGAGATGATGCTGGTATATTTAGCTGGGCAGAGTGAAAGACTGGTATTCTTAGTAGAATTGCAGTAGTGGAAAGGGAAATCTCCCTCCTTGCCCCCTTCCAGGGGTTGGAGGAAGGTGAGTTTCATTTCCCAATATCTTAAATTTGCAGTGATGGGATATTAGACATGCTCTATAGGCATGGGTTGCTTGAGTGGCAAGCAGGATATTGGTTGTAGATTTGAAATTTATGAGCATAGAAGTGATATTTAGTGAGTTCATTAAGAAAATAAGGGAAGAAAGAGAAGGATAACCTTGGGTGAAACTAACGGGATGGGAGGAAAGAATATTGCTTTGGAAATTAGAGTAGGATAGAATTCCAGGCATAAATGTGTGGCCGGCAGTAGCGAGCACTACAAAGAATAGTCAAGTAGGGTGAGGACAAGATCACTGGCAGCTTTTAAGAGTGTTTTCATACTGGGTTGGGGGTAAAAAGTACATGTTCGGGAGTTTAAATAGGAATGAAGAGATGTCTAATGACTGTCAGGGAAAGAATGGTAGCTAGGCAAGGGTATGGGGCAGAATTAAGGTTTTATGTATCTCTGTGACTTCCGTGTGCTCAATGAGGGAGACTAAGCATGTTTAAGGAAGAGTGAAGGAGCTGGTAAGGAGGACTGAAGATACATGAGAGAAGAGGAATCTGTATTATTTCTTATCCTCAGAGATAGAAAAGGAATGTAATCCAGAAAACAGGTAAAAGGGTAAATTAAAAGAGAGGAATCTCTGCCTGGAAGGATGATGAGAACTGTATTTGAAGGGACAATACTAATGCTAGATTACATTTGTTGAGTTCTTACTATATATCTTGTACTTTGCTAAGTACTTTTTATACAGTAGCTTCCTCATGGCAGCATCACTTTAAAAATGGGGAAGCTGAACACACAAACAGAGCTCATAAATGGGGAGCCAAGCTTCAAACCCACGAAATTGTTCCTAAGAGCCGTGTTTCTCACCACAGTCCAGAGCATGCTTCTTAACCATCTCACAAACACTGTTAAGTTTGAGAAGCTAATTTCAATGTTTTCCATGTATAATCAATAGCCTTAGAATTTAAAGGGGACAAATTAAAGAAGTAGGTATAAGGACTCCATGAGAAACTACTAGGCAGGAATGCTATAGAGAGTACCTGGCATCTGAGTCCCTGGATTTCAGCCCCATTTACTGTGTCACCTCGGGCAAATCATTAGCTTCCTATACCTCAGTTTTCTCACCTGCGTCACAGGCTTGTGAACCTTGCATGAGCTATTTAGAAAGTGTTCAATAAATGTAAACATCAAAGAGGGCAGTATTTGTTTGTGGAACACATTATTAGCATAGTTTAAATATGGCTACATCAAAAAGAATAAAGATTTATTAGCTTAGCCCGCTACCTGTTTATTTCACATAATATTTTCAAGAATAATTCTGTCAGTTCAACTAAATGATTAGAATAGTCATTAAAATGAATTTATTTGTCCATATTTATCAGTTCCCTTAGGTCTAATGATTCATCATTGTCCCCTTGTCATTATCCTATATGCTGTGCTCTTCCAGCCTCATCACCCAGATGAAATCCAACATTTTCGCTTTAGTATTCTCATATCAGGCCTTTCAGGTGTCACACTGGACATATTGGCATGCACCACTGTAAATTCGCAGTCATTAGCTTCAACTAGGCTCTGTGCTGTCCATCACTGCCCTCCCTTTCCTCTCCCATTCTCTGCAGTGACAGCTGTCTGTCTCTCCAGCTTCAAGAATCCCATCATTCATTATCCTCGGTGTTCCTGTAGCTCTTTCAGTCAGTAACCAAGTCACCTAATAAACAGCTCTCTAGTAGTTGTGCTTCTCTCTTGAGCTCCATCGCTCTCGCCTGGATCTGATGCTAAAATGATCATTATCTTGCCTGAAGTCATGCCTTAACTGCAGCATTATAGTCCTCACTGGTCTTCTGTGCCTTTTTGTGCTCCCCTCCAGGTTGGTTTCTGTACTGAACTATAGCCAGAGGGATCTTTTAAAATAGAACTGTGATTTGTGCTTTTCTGCTTAAAACTCTTCTTTGATTTCCTCTTGTCCACAGGACACTGCTTGATCTAGCTCCTCCTCAGCTCATTCCAGTCCACCAGTATTGTATTTCTTGGTTTTCTCTGCCTGGAACATTCGTTTCCCACCTCTCTTTTTGCTTGACTGATTTCTAGTCATCTTTCAATCTCATTTTCAGTGTCATTTCCTAAGAGCCTTTCTTGACCCCTCAGATAAGTGAGGTCCATTTTGGAGTAAGCTCATATAGCACATAGAAAAAATCTTTGTTTTTCTTAGTACTTGGCACTAGCATATTACTTATTTGTAATTATTTTAGTAGCTATATGTAATACTTATTGAGTATGCCCATGTACTGTGCTGTCTTTACATGGATTATCTCCTAACCTGTACAGAAGCCCTGGGAGGTTAAGTCTTCTCACCCAGCTTGTTCAAGGTCTCATGGTAAGTGGCAGGGAATTCAAACTAGGTGATTCAATTCCAGAGCCTGTGTCCTGGAAGGACTAATAGGCTTCGCTCTCTACCCCTTCACCCTGCCTCCCAGGTTATGTAACATTTGTCTTCCCTGCAAGCTGAGGACAGAGACCTTGTCTGTTGTTGACAGCTACGTGACCAGCACATAGCATGGATCTGGTAAATACTAAGCACTCACTCAGTAAATATTTGTTGACTGCCTTACTGACAATCTACACTCTGTTTTACAAATTTTTATAGGCTGTTTTAGACCTAGGAAAAACCTTTGGGATGCATCCAGCAGGTTTTTTTCCATCATTCTTATATATTGGAGAATGGCTAGCATATTCTAAGCATCAAAGATTAGGCTGATTTATTGAGTGCAAGGGACTAAGTGCCATAGAGCTTTAAAGAACATTTGTTTTTGAATTGCAGTAAGGGATAAAACAGAAAGATTCAAGGAGAATAGAGAATACTGGGATTAAAGTCTGGGGCAGGATTTTAATGGTAGAAAGATAGTGGAAAGGAAGACAGAAGGTGTGAAATGATAGAGCTGCAACTTATGGAACCGAAGACATACAGAGTTTAGCAGATGATGTGCGGCTTCTCTTCAAAGGAGGGAGGATGAGAGCTAATGTCTGTGGGGTACAATATGTGCCAAACACTGTCTCTAGCAGCTTTCTAGTCTTTATTTAATTCTGACAACTCTAGGAAATACTTTTATCTTCACTTTTAGAAGACTGAGATTTAGAGAGGCTAATGCTGTTAGTCCAGATGATAATCTTGTTGCTCATTCCAGTGTGTGACAAGAAAATACGATTTAAACTTTTTGCCTTCAATACTTTTGTTTGTGTTTTATTTCTAAATTAATTCATCTCCCAGATGCGCTTGGTTATTTGAACATCGTCTTGCTCATCAGCTAATTATGTTATCATGTAGACATTCACTTAGGAAAGAATTTCTGTTATTCTTCCTACCCCACCGCTTGCCCTCCCCACCCCCGACCAAAGATTTGTTTCCAACTGTAGGTTCTGAAACAACCACTTTGGTCCTGTCTCTTGCACCTTGATCTTCCTTAGGTTATTGTAAAAGCTGGTCAACTCACAGCTATCAATAATTGATCATTCTTTTATGGCTGTAATAAATCCATCATCATGTCCATTAAAGGATACTCTCCTAGTATGTTAGCATTTTAGGATCAAAATAGCATTTGATTTTTGGGCAGTGTTTCACATTCATTTGTGTTAGTTTAAGATGGGGAGGGTGGTATTGTTTTTTCTATTTTATATGGAAATACATTTAATTGGCAGAGATGCTTATTTTCAGGGGATCAGTAGGAGAGTTAGAATCAGGTCACTGACTTCGTCATTTACTTCTTAGAGGCTACTAAAAAGTATCAATAAATAGGTACCCTACGTTCACAGATTATTAAAGGTCTGTGAATTCTATTTTCTACCCCCTTAAAACTATATATATAAATTACAGAAATGTATCTCTATCTACAGTTATATTAGCACCACAGTCAGTAGATGCATGAAAGAAATGCCATGTTTTTGAAGACCTGGAAACTAGCCCAGTATTTTAATATTAAATAAAAATCCAACAGAGATGGAGAAGACATGTGTTTTACAAGGACTAAAATTTTGCAATCAATTACATTAAATTTATACTGGGTCCTGGGCCTTAACGAAGGATCAAATTTCTCTTCTTTGTTCAGCCTGAAAGTACATATTACACTTGATTTTTGCTATACTTTTTATTCAGATCATGCATTTAAATTTTTTCACTCACAGATATTTTGATTAGTAGTATTTGCAAAACAGAAAGGCTTCTAGGATCTGCCATGTTGGTGAAATTGAATGGAGTCAGTTCAGGGCTTATGATTTCCTCTTCTCCAGACTTTCCCTCTTGGAATTCTTTTAGCTCTCAGCAAACTTAATTAAGCAGACTTTTTTTTTTAAGATGGGAGTCTTGAACTGTCGCCTGGGCTGGAGTGCAGTGGTGTGATCTGGGCTTACTGCAACCTCTGCCTCCTGGGTTCAAGTGATTCTCCTACCTCAGCCTCCCGAGTAGCTGAGATTACAGGCACCTGCCACCACGTCTGGCTATTAAGCAGACTTTTTAAAAACAGGAATTTTAACTCTTATTCTTGTCTGTACATGTAATTTTCCTATCTTTATATGTAAATCTAACATCTTCCTGATCCCTTCCCTTTTTTTGAGATTAGGGTCTCACTGTGTCACTGAGGATGGAGTGCAGTGGTGTGATCATGGCTAACTGCAGCCTCAACCTCCTAGGTTCAAGTGATCTTTCCACCTTAGCCTTTCAAGTAGCTGGGACTGCAGGCACATGCCACCATGCCTGGCTAATTTTTTTATTTTTATTTTAGAGACAGGGTCTCACCATGTTGCCCAGGCTGATTTTGAACTTCTGGGCTCAAGTGATCCTCCCATCTTGGCTTCCAAAGTGCTGGGATTACAGACATGAGCCACAACACCTGGCCCTGACTTGGCAGAGGGAGAGAAAATTATACCTTTGACTACAATCAGAGTTTATGGATTCATTCAAAACATGGGTGTACTTTTGGGTTATCTGGGCACAGAATTGTGCAGGGAATCTCCATGCTTCTTATACCAAGTAACAGTTTGAATGGAGTCATTTTCTATTTTGGAAATTCTATGAAAAAGCAAAGAAAGTTTGCAGCAGGAGCAAAAGGAAAACCAGGCTTTAGCAGGAGAGCTGCAAGTGATGTGTACAGGTGAATTCCAGTTGATGACTTAAGCTGATGTTTTTTTAAGAGACAGGTTCTCACTACATTGACCAGGCTGGTCTCAATCTCTTGAGCTCAATCCTCCTGCCTCAGCTCCTGAGTAGCTGGGGCTAGAGGAGCATGACACTGTGTCCAGCTTTACTAAGCTGATCATCATTCCAGGGATAAATTAGGTTGTAAGTCAGCGTTGCCTGTGTACCAGATTTGAAGATTGTGCACTTGAAAAGAAAGAGGCATATGCTTTAGATTCATTTCCTTGTCTCCATTGGCCTTATGCTTATCACTTATGGAAGATGGATAGGGAAATCTTGAATCGTGGGCAAATTGTGGGGGAGTTTCCAAATCAAGAAATACAGGCTGGTTATGGTGGCTGATCCCTGTAATCTCAATCTCAGCATTTTGGGAGGCTCAGGTAGGCGGATTGCTTGAGGCCAGGAGTTCCAGACCAGCCTGGGCAACATAGTGAAACCCCATCTCTATTAAGAATACAAAAAAATTGGCCAGTTGTGGTGGTGCATGCCTATAGTCCTAGCTACTTGGGAGGCTCAGGTGGGAGGACTGCTTCAGCCTGGGAGGTTGAGCCTGGGAAGTCATACCACTGCACTCCAGCCTGGGTAACAGAGTGACACCCTGTCTTGAAAAAAAAATAATTAATTTAAAAAACAAGAAATATGAATTCTTTTTTAGTAAACTCAAGGCTGTGAAAAGTGTAATTGACCCATCGTCCTGTAACGGTTTATAAGTGTTGAATCTGTTACGTTTGTTAGTACTTTGAAAAGTTTTGAAAAACTGTTTTTCTCCTCATAGATGGATGGTGACAGTTCTACAACAGATGCTTCTCAATTAGGAATCTCTGCAGACTATATTGGAGGAAGTCATTATGTTATACAGCCTCATGATGGTAAGCAGGCCACAGAACCAAATTCACAAGTTGAAACAAGTTAGAAAGTGGACATTTCATTAATATGGTATTCTAGGTTACTTTTGTCTTTATAGGAAAATTTGCAATCTTGTGTCATGGTTGAATGAGAAAGTGTAAAAAAGGAGTACCATGCTCTTTTTATTAGAAATAGTCTTCAAAAGAGTGAGTTCTTGAAAAAACTTTTACTATAAAAATACACCTTTTCTAAAACGTGTATAGTTTCTTTTAAAATTTGTTACCGACTTCCTGTTTAAATGTTAAAAATGAGAAATCTGTAATCTATTGATAGGGTAACTAAAATAATTCTTTAGAGGGTGAGTTAAATTTCTAGCTATTATGTTTTTTCCATTTACGATTTTTTGGGTTTCATTCGTATTAACTTCGAACTATGTCAGGTATTAGAAAGGCAGTATTGGCTCGGTGTGGTGGCTCAGGCCTATAATCCCAGTAGTTTGGGAGGCCGAGGTGAGGACCCCTTGAGCTCAGAAGTAGGAGACCAGCCTGGGCAACATGGTGAAACCCCATCTCTACAAAAAAAAATGCAAAAATTAGCTGGGCTTGGTGGCATATACCTGTAGTCCCAGCTACTTAGGGGGCTGGGGACTGAGGTGGCAGGATCTCTTGAGCCTGGGAGGTAGCCTCAGTGAGCTGTATTTGTACCACTGCACACTCCAGCTTGGGTGACAGAGTAAGATCCTGTTTCCCGAAAAAAAAAAAAAAAAAAAAAAAAGGCATTGTTATGTTGGCCTATCAGAAATAATTTACTTTTGTGGCATTTTGATTTGTAAAACTTTTTTTTTTTTTTTTTTTTTGGAGACATGGCGTCTTGCTCTGTCGCCCAGGCTGGAATGCAATGGTGCAATCTTGACTCACTGCAACCTCTACTTCCTGGGTTCAAGCAATTCTTCTGCCTCAGCCTCCCCAGTAACTGGGATTACAGGTGCCCACCACCACGTCCGGCTAATTTTTTTTCTTTTTAGTAGAGACAGGGTTTCACCATGTTGGTGAGGCTCGTCTCGCACTCCTTACCTCAGATGATCTGCCTGCTTGGGCCTCCCAAAGTGCTAGGATTACAGACATGAGCCACCATGCCTGGCCTGACTTGTAAAATTTTTACAAATTGAGATATATTTTCAGAAGAAATTTGCCAGAGGGATTAATTTCATCCTGAAACAGATATTGAAATAAATTAATTCTGATAACATCATTTTAAACACATAAAAATGTAAATTGAATCAACTTAAGTGCCTTGCTTACTTATATATGAAGAGTGGGCAGTTTACTTACAAGGTACGGCATTTAGTCATAAAAGGATGCTATTGGTACTGTACAAGCTTCAGTTATAGCTACATTTATATAATTGGAAAATTCACTTTTTGTATGAACAGTTGGATCACTGCTATAGCTTTGTTCAAAATCGAATTATATTAGTAATCCAATTGGGTCAGTAATATTCAAGTCCCGTTGTCCATTCTGTATAGAATTTTATATAAACTTTATACAGACAACTTTATATCAGCTTTAAAAGTTTTATATAGACTTTTACATAAATAAGTTTATATAAACTTGGCTTTGGAGAAACATATTATCTCTTAGTCTGGCAATATTGAAGGAGCCATAGGTTACAGTCTGTAAGTTTTACAGCTAAGTCATGCAGTAAATATTTAAGAATACCTACTCTGTGGAAAGTGCTATACTAAGCTAGGTATACACGAAGCTGATTCTTGACATCAAGTAGCAAAAATCTAATAGGAGAAATGAGGATTAATAAAAATTCTAAAATGTGTAAGAGAAAAGACATAGAGAAGCCCTTGTATTTTATGAAAGAAAAGATCATTTTTGAAGGTGCTATAGAGATGTTATTTGAGATTTTTGGAGAATGGGGGGTAAGATGTAGCAGGTATATTTGAGAATAAAAAGCATTTTAGGTGGTGAGTTTGAAATTAATGAAAAAGTTCAGTTCTGGCTCTGTAAAAATTATGAAAAGACTTGCTCTCCTAATCCCTAAATAAGGGTTGAGTGATGAACCAGGATGATTTTATTCTGGATCATTTTGGTAGTTTTTTCTATCTTGAAATAGAAATAATAAGCTTTAAACCTAAATATTTTTATTTCTTTAGATACTGAAGACAGCATGAATGATCATGAAGACACAAATGGTTCAAAGGAAAGTTTCAGAGAACAAGATATATATCTTCCAATAGCAAACGTGGCTAGGATAATGAAAAATGCCATACCTCAAACAGGAAAGGTAACATAGAGGAGAAATTCAACTTGTTTTTTTCAAGGGAAACATGAAACGACATGAATTCATAGGTCATGAATACAGTTAGCTGTTGGTATCAATCATTCAGGCTTTCAGCAAATCAAATATTTCTTTCATGTCTACATACGCAGTTACTGAATAGTGTTCCATTTTCAATTCTGTCATGTCCCCAAATGTTCTCCCCTCTCCCACTTACTGGAGGCAGATACAATAGAATTAAGACTGTTTTAAAAAATAGGTACATTGTCAGAACTATCAGGTTTGAGTGTATGAAGCTGTAACTTCTATAATGTTACAGCAAATTTAGGTCATACTGGTCTGATATAGGTGTGGTAAGAATTTTCCCAAACAAATCCTGGTATTTGGAAACAGCTATTTTTACGTAATTATAGATACTAACATACATTTCAACTGATACGATTTTTTTAAATAGTTTTGTCTTCTTAGAACTTTTAAAAACTCATTGTCACTGCTGATCACTTGGTCTGAATTAAAATTCACACATTTTATATCGTTTTCTGTTGGTAACTTTTCTATCATTATAGTTTAAAAAGACTTAGGGAAGTAATAAAATGTACAAATATATATACTATTAGAATAATTACTAGGCCTAGAACTTACAGTTTGAGAATTTTGTCCTTATGTTTTAAGGAAAAAAAAGGCACAAACGCTGCTTGTTGCTTACATAGGCTAAGGCTGCCACTGGTCAGTATCGTAGCCACAAGCCACGTGCCCTGGAGCACCTGAAATGTGGCTGGTCTGAATGGAGATATGCTGTAAATTTGAAACACCAGATTTTGAAGACTTAGTATGAAGAAAAGAATTAAAATATTTCACTGAAAGATTGATTCTACGTGTAAATAGTAATAATTTGGGTTAAATTAAATATACTATTAAAATTAATTTTAATTTTTTTTATATTGCTACTGGAGAATCTAAACTTACATATGTGGCTCACATTATATTGTCTTGCTTGACCGCATTCATGCAGTTCTTGTTTACACTCTAGTATGTAAAATAGGCATGGAGGTGAAAGACAGTAGGTTTTGGCAAGAATTTTGAGTGGTATTGCTATTATAAGTGGCTTTGTAATTGCATGTTAATCCATTGGAGTTTGATTTTTAGACCCCAGACTCTTAAGGGAAGATTGTTTTTATAATTAAGTGGCAGATGTGTGCTTCTTTAGGCAGTCTTTTTAGTAAACTCAAAACCTGTATATGACACTGTATATCCCCAATAATAAAAGAAGTCAGAAAGTCACCAATATTTGTGTGTTTGTTTTCTTTTTTGAGATGGAGTCTCGCTCTGTTGCCCAGACTGAAGTGCAGTGGCGTGATCTTGGCTCACTGCAACCTCTGCTCACCTGGGTTCAAGTGATGCTTCTGCCTCAGCCTTCTGAGTAGCCAGGATTACAGGCATGTGCCACCACACCTGGCTAATTTTTGTATTTTTAGTAGAGACAGGGTTTCACCATGTTGGTCAGGCTAGTCTCAAACTCCTGACCTCATGATCCACCCGCTTTGGCTTCCCTAAGTTCTGGAATTACAGGCTTGAGCCACCATGCCCAGACTCATATGTTATTGTTCCGCTCTTTTCCAAGCCTTATGTGAATTCAGTTTTTTAGTTTTTGTCTTGCTTTTTGTTTTTTTATTTTCTGGTGTCTTTATTCATCAAAATGCTAGAGCAGAGAAGTGGTACCTTAGTCACCCATAAAATATGCATGTGGAATTGACTTTCCAGGGGCATTTGGTTAGTAAGAGTTTTCATCCTCTGTGGGGTGGTAGGAACATCCAGTGCTCTTTGATATCTAAATCAGATTTGTTTTCTGTAAATAGTTTCATGGCTTCTCTCACTTGTATTTGACTTTTTATTCTGACTCTGAGGTTTGGAATTTTGATAGCACACACTGTATTAATGTTATAACATATTTAAGAGATTAAGTAGTCATAAAATGAAGATGTGTTCTTCTGAATAGGCTTTTATTTTTGTAGGTTGTTAGGAAGGTGATGCTTATAGTTTCTGTAATTTACCTGTGATTTTCTCTTCAGATTGCAAAAGATGCCAAAGAATGTGTTCAAGAATGTGTAAGTGAGTTCATCAGTTTTATAACATCTGAAGCAAGTGAAAGGTGCCATCAAGAGAAACGGAAAACAATCAATGGAGAGGACATTCTCTTTGCCATGTCTACCTTAGGCTTTGACAGTTATGTGGAACCTCTGAAATTATACCTTCAGAAATTCAGAGAGGTAAGGAAAATGTCTCCCATTGTGCTTTTAAGAAAAGAGACATTATGTACTTTAACTTTTTAAATGTTTATTTGTTTAAAAACTTTATTTTGTAGTAAATTATGTAACATTTCTCAGAAGTATTCAGTCGCTTATATCAACAGTTCCCAACCTTTTTGGCACCAGGGACCAGTTTTGCGGAAAACAGTTTTTCTACGGATTGGGGTCGGGGGAGGGATTCAAGGGGCAGATGGCTTCAGGATGAAACTGTTCCACCCCAGATCATCAGGCATTAGTTAGATTCTCATAAGGAATGCACAATCTAGATCCCTTGTATGCACAGTTCACAACAGGGTTCAAGCTCCTATGAGAATCTAATGCTGCCACTGATCTGACAGGAGGTGGAGCTCAGGTGGTGATGCTGGATTACCAGCCCCTCACCTCCTCCTGTGTGGCCAGGTTCTTAACTGGCCAGGGACCCTTATCAGCCTGCAGACTGGGAGTTGGGGATCACTGACTTATATTACAGTACTTAAATACTAAGTCCTTTCTTTTTCCCTTTGCTTACTACTAACCATAGCATAGTTACATAATGATGAAAGGGCACAGACTTTGGATTCAGACTACCAGGAGGCTGAATCTCAGCTCTGCCACATGCAAATTCTATGGCCTTGGACAGATTATTTCAGTACTTTAAAGGTCTTGGTTTCCTCATCTGTAAAATGAGGCTAATAGTACCTACATCATAGAATTATTGATGGGACTAAGTAAATAATGTTCAGTGCTCATTAACGTTACTTCTTGCTGCTATTGTTAATTTAAAGGAAGTAGCATTAAAAGTAGTAAGATAATAAAAAAGTGGAAAGTATAATCATGTGTCTTATTATTGATTGAATTCTTCTATACTTCCTCTTAGGTTTATCTTTGCCTGTGGGAATGGATTTTGTGAAAAGGAGTTGAGTTCAGCATATTTATTTCCACATACCAGCTTAGGTGTTGTCAGATTCACATTACTTTCAAAATATATCCTCAATATCTTTAGTGTTTGAATCCCATTAAATTAGTGATAATTGCATGGAATGATTCAAGTAGGAAAAGAATGTGTAAATTTCTGACAGTGCTTTTACAAATCTTCAGCATCATAGAACCCTGGAGGTATTTGGCCAAACTAATTTTGGTTTAAGAATTTTAAATTCTCAACTTGCTACAGTACTGCCCAGTTGGCTGAAAGACATGTATATACTTAAGTGATAACCTGGATCATTTGTAGTATATTTATAAGCTCAATATTTGTGGTATTTTGCAGACTTCTTCATCTGTAAGTAGAGTTCTCTTACCCTTTGATGTGGTGTAGAATTAGAATAATTTATTTTTATCTATAAATACTTTGTTTTCTAGGTCATTACTAACTCTTAAAGTGATTACAGCTTATATTAAAAGTTAGCCTTTTGAAAGCCTTCTTCATATGTAATTAACCAGCAGTGTTAATAAATACTCTGCTTAGAGTTTGTAATAATAGAAGCTCCTAATTTTAGGCAATAGGTAAGCATTCTTATTTGAAAGACAATTTCATCTGAATATCAGTGACTTTTTTTTTTCCTTCCTCAGGCTATGAAAGGAGAAAAGGGAATTGGTGGAGCAGTCACAGCTACAGATGGATTAAGTGAAGAGCTTACAGAGGAAGCATTTAGTAAGCATTGTTATAATAACAAGTCATGTAGCTTGTTAGCAGTGATTCATACTGTCTAGTGGTATTTTCGGAATGTCAACACTGAGTATTTTGACATAGCATTATTTTAAATAGTTCTTATCAGTTCACGCCCTTTTATTTGAAATCAGTGAGTGGTAGGTGTAGAAAATTTTAATTCTGCAGACATCATAACCTTTCACAAATAGTTCTAAGTTCCATAGCCCCTAGTTTTCGGCAAAGATTCATATGACATAGGAATTTAATATTAAGGAATTGTAGTTTGTAATGTAAAATCTTACGGTTTAAATAACTTTGAACTCAGGTTTGTTTTTTTTGTTTTTTTTTACATTGAGTATCATTGTCATATGGGTGAAATAAAAGGGCTATGGTGAGTACACTTCTCATATGTAAAATATATGCTGCTCAGTTATGTGTTGCTCCCAGCCAAACCTCATGATGTAGTGTAGTATAATCACTTCATCCAGTCTGTCTGCAGATTTGTACACATGGACAGTTAGCTAAGGTACATGTTAGAGATATGAAAATTGAAAAACGCAATAAAAAAAAATGTGGTTTTTAGGGAACATTTTTTAAAATGGAAAATTGGAGGATTTATTATTTTGTCCAAGACTATATCATTGATAAGGGGCAGAATTGTACTGAGACAATTAATGGCACAACCTCAAGATTCAGCCCAAGAAAGTAGATAAAGTTCTTTTCCCTCTTTAACTGTTAATTTTTTCCTTTTAGCTAACCAGTTACCAGCTGGCTTAATAACCACAGATGGTCAACAACAAAATGTTATGGTTTACACAACATCATATCAACAGGTACAGTCCTTTGTATTTTAAACGTTTAAAAAATTTGATTATATTGCTGGGGCGCGGTGGCTCATGCCTGTAATCCCAGCACTTTGGGAGGCTGAGGTGGGCGGATCACCTGAGGTCAGGAGTTCAAGACCAGCCTGGCCAACATGGTGAAAACCTGTCTGTACTAAAAATGCAAAAATTGGCAGGACATCGTGGCAGGTGCCTCTAATACCAGATTCTCAGGCAGGAGAATCACTTGAATCTGGGAGGCAGAGGTTGCAGTGAGCTGAGATCATGCCACTGCACTCCAGCCTAGGCAACAGAGCAAGACTGTCTCCAAAAAAAAAAATTGATTATATCTATTGATAAAGCTAATTTCAACACGTTATTAAGGACTTGATAATAGGGTTATTAAAAATTCTGTTTTCTCAATATGGATAACTCTATATAGTAGTCTCTTAATAGTTAAGAATGTTTATATTTGCATAGATTTCTAGAAAGATACACAAGAAATGGGAAGTAGACTTGTTACTGTCTTTTTAGTCACTGAATATTTATAATATGCATATGTTATGCTTAATCTCCTTTAATTCTGCTCAATTTAAATTTTCTAATCTTAGATTTCTGGTGTTCAACAAATTCAGTTTTCATGATCTGAAGAAATGATGGAATGGGGATTGTAGAGAAATGAGAGTGTATGATTCTGGAACAGAGACATCAGAAGGAAGTGACTGGTGACAAGATGTATCTTTGTATATTAAATAGCTGTAATGTAGCTTCCTGATGCTTGACTAATTGAGGTGTTAATTCCGACTTGAGAATCTTTTTCATGAGTGATTTTAAAGAAAAATTTGGATTTTAAAGGTATTAAAATATTTTTGTTTTGTACAAGAGTTTGTTGCTCTGTATGACTCCTGTATGCATTGTATATTGCAATTTATTACTGTCAGAGATTTGTAGACAGTTTCTTATTTTCATATTGAATCATGTTACTTTTGTAATTCAAGTAAGCAGCTGGGTTAATTCATGATGTTTGCCCTTTTAATAAAATATAAGGGTAGAGTTCATTTTGAATGCAAGTTGCCTTTATTATAAATTTGAGTTTGTCTTGGTTATACCTTGCATGATAACCTAGCTAGATTTCTAGCATTTGCTGTATTTATTAAAATTACTATTTTTTTGGGTAAAACATTCATAGTTTAAGCAGCACCATTTTTTTAAAAACAATGTAATTAAGTGTGAATGCAGAAGCAAATATTGTCTGCCCTGGTTCAACTTGGTGCCCATTAACAGTGTTTACACTGTTCATCGTGCCTGTTAATGTAGTTTTAGTTATTGGACTTTTTTTTAGACTAGATTTGGTTTTGAGTTACATTATTAAGAATGTTGGAATACATTTAAGTTTAATGTTCTCCTAGTGCTCTTGAAATGGTGCCCCTTTCATTTGGTACATGATTTTTTTCAAAGCATATCTTCAAGTACTATACTGACCTTTTACAGAAGAGGAAATTTATAGTCTGATGGTAAATGTCCTCATTTTACCTTTTTAATTGAAATGTTAAGTTTCCTTTTATACTACGGAAACCAAGAAACATCAGACATCATTGCGTGTACAGACCTTTTGCATGGGTGAGTGAATGAAATGGAGAACAGAGTGAGTGCTGTGAACGGTGTGAAAAAGAAGCTGCCAGCTTCTAGTGTGCTGTCTTCATCTTTGCAATAAACTAAACTTAGATAGTGTAACTTTGTATAATTTAGTAGTATATACTTGGATTGTTTCTTTTTTAAAAAGTGAGGATTTGTATTTTCTCATCTATTATTTTTGGTGTTAAGGGATTTTTTTTTTAAGTTTTAATATCAAAAATTGTTATTGTATAGTTTGCCTAAAAGGAAGTTGGAGTGAATGTCATCTTTGAAGGATACTCAGATTTATAAGGTAGAAGCAATTTCCCAGATACAGGCTGAATAGAAACATTTCTTTGCCAGAAGGAGCCTTTGGGACTATATTTGAGCTAATCAGAGGTTAAAAATGCCCTCATCAACTATGCTCCATTTTAAAAATAATTTTCATTATAATAAATTCAAATAGGAAAAAATGGGGGAGTAGTTAAGCAAAACCAATAATCATCCTACTATGTTGAAAGAACCAATGTTAATATTTTGATAAATATTATTTGTCCTTTTACTTTGCTAAATATGTATATTTTTATAAAAATGGGCTCATATTGTGCATACCATTTTGTAACCTGCTTTTTTCACTTAACAATATATTGTGATCATCTTTTCCAGGTCATGCATAGTCTTCTGCATCATTTTTATTGGTTTATTATTCTGTTATATGACTCAATCATAATTTATTTAATCTTCTATTGGATATTTTGATTATTTACATCTTTTCACAGTATAAACAACACTTCACTGAATCTCGTGTTCATCCATGACTGTTTTCTTAAATTCTTAGACGTATTGCTGGATTACCAAATATGCAAAATTTTAACCGTTTTGATACTTTGTTATGAGTGTATTTTAAAATATTTTCCATTTGATCCAGGTAGTGTGTCCTTATATAACTGAAAAAACCACTTGGTCTTTGATTATCTGTAAAATTAGTTTAAAGATTGGGATATATTAGAGTAGAGAATCAAGATAAAAAAGGAATTTGAGGCCAGGTATGGGGTTGCTCATGCCTAGAATCCCAGCACTTTGGGAGGCTGAGGTAGGTGGATCACTTTGAGGTTAGGAGTTTGAGACTAGCCTGGCCAACATGGCGAACCTTCCATCTCTACAAAAAATACAAAAATCAGCAGGGTATGGTGGTATGCACCTGTAGTCCCAGCTATTCTGGTGGCTGAGGCATTATCCCTTGACCCTGGGAGACAGAGTCTGAAGTGAGCTGAGATCATGCCACTGCTCTCCAGCCTGGGCAACAAACCCAGACTCTTGTCTCAAAAAAAAAAAAAGAAAACAAAACCCAGGAATTCCATCATTCAAAATTTTAAGTCAGTATCTAATACAACAAATTTCCAAACTTCATCATTTGCTGGTAGTGCTCACCAAAACTTTACACTAGGTAAAATCAGGTCACTTTTTTTTTTTGTATGGACTTCACTGTTGTTGGACTTCATACTCTGATGGGAAAGAAAATGGACATTCTGCATGTGTCAGGTACATAATATCCTAATTTATGCTTGTCAGAGCTGGGGTCAGTGTCTTACTTGGCTTGTGTTGCATTTAACTGGATGTCATGTTTTCTCTGGAACTTCTGTATGCAAGCTCCCATGTTAACCTATTATAAAAATGTTTTTTTTTTTTAATTTTGTAAACATTGCTTTCTTGAGTATGTAATAGAGAAACGGGTTTCAGTAGTAAGGTAGAAGAAGGGGACTTAGGTAGCTTGTGTCTTAGGTAGCTTCTGTCTGGCCCCTCACTACCTCACTCTAAAGGAGATGCTTTAAAATCATCTTGAATTCAGCAAGGATTGTTTTTTAAATGGTGCCTTCCTAATGTCACATACTTTGATATGACAGTGTTTGAAGCTATTTGTATTTTTTCCCCTCCTACACTGTATTACGTGTGCAGCGTTTTCCTTTCTTCACAAACATGCCTTATTGCCCGTTTTGCCTTAGCGAGTTAAAGGAGTACCAGTTAACTTTAATAATTCTAATTGAATATAGTTATGAGGGCCCAATTAAAAAGACTTCTATAGCAGTAGTAATTAGGCATGAAAAGCAGAAAGGATAGTTTCTCCCATTTGCTAAGAATGCAAGATTTAAAAAAAATTTTCTCTTAAGGAAAATGCTAATTTTTTCAACAATCTAAACAAGATGATGTTTGTTATTTATGTGATAAAATACACTTTAAGTCATTCAAATAAATGATAATTAGGCAGTTCTTAAAAGGACTTTAAAAGAAAAGTGATACTGGGTAAAATCTATACCAAAAACTAGTCTATTTTAAATGTGTTTTTTGGTCTCCCTGAGTTAGGCAACTGATAATTTGTGTAAGTTAATAATTTGTATATATTGACCTTAAACTCCTATTAAGTCATATAATGTGCTCATGAGTAAAAAATTGAACAACTCTAACTTTGTTTTCTAAGGAACTATACTACACTGTCTGAAAAATACTCAGTTTCAATTTATGGTTTCTTTTAGAGCTAGAACCGTTACTTCACCTAGTTTAGCTCTCTCTAAACTGGGTGAGCTGGGCAGCTGCATCACCCCGATCTCATCTTGGCTCCTTATGTCAAGTTCTTTGCCTCCCGCATCCACCTGCCATGACCTTAAACACATACTTCCCTCTACCTAGCTAAGTCCCACTCATTCTTCAGGTCTTTATCAGAAAAGTTTCTCAAACATTTGTAAAACCTTTGTAGTAATCACCAAATATAGAAAATAGCACCACCCAAACACAAGAGATGTGTAATACAGCCTTTTATACTGGCTGCTGTACGGCCCCTTATAAATTTATTTTGAGACTGTGCTACTTTTTGTACCTGATTTTAAGGATTTGTGAAACCATAAGGCAGAATCCCTTCCAATCTTGGGCCACAGATGGCACTGGCATGGATTCATTTCTCTGGCTTCTGGCCATTGCCTTTAAAGAGACGCTTGCCTAATAGTAAAGTTAGTTTTCCCTGATCTTACTCCAGAGACTGTTTCCTTTTCCACTGCATATTAAAGGGATATGTGTGCAAGACAATGTAAGAACTCCTTTGCCAAAATTAATTTGAGCAAGTGTGTGAGATAAGAATAAAGTCATTAAAGTATGTGCTGGTACCCTCTTAAAGGCCATGTAGTAGTTTTAGGGGACCAAATTACATTAATAGGTAATTCTTTCTTCTTCCACAAAAATATCCTGAGATTATAAAATTCCGATCCATGGCATAAAATTTTTCCTCTTTAAGGTATGATTTAGGTCTTCCTTGATTGTCCTCTAAAAGCAAACAGTAACAGGTTTCTGTCATACTTTTGCAACTGTTTTCCAGGGCTCAATTTCAGAGTACATGTGAATGAAAGATACTTCTGAACTTTGAACACTAGGCAGTTGTTGAAAAAAAGTTACTGGGCAAGGACAAGTCATAACAGAAAGTGCCTTTCAGCCAGAACAGGTATGCCAAGGAGGCTCATTCATGCATATATCTCCCCAATATTAGCTTTACAAGAAACCAAATCCAAATTCTTTTTTCAGATCAAAGCAATCATTAATAAAAGAATACAATGTTTGGGACATTTAAAGAAATGGCAGAGCTGTTCCTTTGTTTGGAGGAAGAGTCTATCTTTTAAAAATGGTTTCTTTCTGTACATTTCCAACCTTGCAAGTAGCAGTCTCTCCACTGTAAAAGTGCTATCTTACAGAACTGTACAGAGGGAGCCAGGCATCTTTTAATTCTGTATAGACTGCTAGAAGGTACCACGTATTCTACTTGCATAAAGGGCAAACTGTTAATCTAGACTTCATTTCCAAGAGTAAGACAGCCTAGATACCCTAACAACTCCCAATTAACCCCCCCCAATGCTTTATAAAAGAAATAACGTGAACTATCAGCAAATTATTGAATAATGTATTTTGGTAAGTTTATCATGAAAGCAAGGAATTTGCAGAACTCCAAAAAGATGTAAAAATAACCTGTGAGGCTGAGCTAGCACTAAAGCCTGCTTTTGCCCCAAGAGCTCTTTTGGAGTCTGGAGTTCTTGACCTAGCAGGAGAGGAGGGCCTGGACATAAAGCTGAATGCTTACCTAGTTTGAAGTCTTATTAGGGCCACCAGAGAAATAGGTAGCAAGCAGGCTTACCTGCCTCAATTTTGGTGCTGGATGAAGGGGTATAAATTACCCCTATTCTCAAATACCTAACCACAGGCTCTTCCTCAGGTTAAATGTCAGCTGATAATTTAAAATAAGTAGTCTCATGTTGGTTGCTTCTGGATGTCTGGCAGAGCAAAAAAGTTCTCTCAAAATTCTCCATTTCAATGCTTGAAGTTATTTGCCAAGGAAAAGAAGTTTAAGATTCCACAAACTGCATGGCCAACATGGCAAAACCCCATCTCTACTAAAAATACAAAAATTAGCCGAACATGGTAGCATGTGCCTGTAATCCCAGCTGCTTGCGGGGCTAAGGCAGGAGACTTGCTTGAACTAGGAGGCAGAGGTTGCAGTAAGCTGAGATTGCACCACTGCACTCCAGCCTGGG